ACCTTCACTGCGACAACATCATCCTGCTCGAATTTCCCGCAGCTGTCATTATATCTATATGTTACATGACCTCTTTTTGGATGCATTTGAGTCCAAGCAATGAATCATGAAGGATTACCTAAGCATAACCTTCTTCTAAATCCTTTCATTTCAAATTTGCTTTATAGCTTACCATGAATCTTTGTGGAAGTTCCAGTGTTTTTCACAAATAGACGTATCTATATTTAAGCACCTATTTTTCTCCAGTTATTTTTATTTAGCAGAAGTGGATACGATCCGATACCAACGAAAATCTTATCAATTGGTCATTACCTTTTGGTTCCACATGCATACACTTGGAACTTACTTCCAACAAAAAGCCCAAAGTTGAAGATCTTGCTATGCTCGACCATCAAAAGAAAGCCTCGTTTCCTTCTGGGTCCTGACTCCCTACTGGCACGCGAGGGCTTTCTATGCTCATAATCTGCGCGAAACTCACAGTTAACAGTCATCGTCTACTCGCAGTAAACGCGTAGGCATCTCCACATAACATCCAAAGTGTCGGATTAATTGCGAAACGGTCGTGCAGAGGAGAGCACGTCGTTGCAAAACCACTGAAATCTAAAACGAACCCACTGCAATGGTGCTTCATCCGCGAACTGGACTACCCTTGGATGCATCAGCCTCTAGGCCAATGACGCCGATGCCTTATTGGCGGCCAACGCCCTCTTGGAATACGTCAGTCCATTCTTCGTTCTAAGGCACGAGCAAAAGAACTCCGTAGAGCTTCTGAGCGAAATAACCACCGTTACACCTGCCTCTTCCCACTCCCATGTCTCGCCGTATCCGACCACTTGCAATTAGCTCGCACCTTTAAGTGCTTCTTCATTTTCCGAGACATCTGGGAGATTATTTGAATTGACAAGGAATTGCTGGTATCTTAAGGGCAAAAATCCTTTTATCAAGAGTTTTCAGAGCATGCTGTCATATCAGTGACTCCACCAAGGTGATTTTCTTTAATTTCAAGATATTCCCGTCCATTTAAAAGTGCCGGTTAGGTGAATAACAGCAAACATACTTGCAGTCAGCCCTCGTCCAGTATACCCGCGGCTAGACTGCTGTCGCCACGGCATGTTTCTTTTGTTTATAACTTTACAGAATTTCTCGTTCTTCCTATCACATCCTATCTTCTTGCACGTATGAAACCATAATTTGACTCTTCATCCTCTGAAAACATGACCATTATCACGGCTCAACACTCCAGCTTTCTGGGTCCTTGCTACCGTTTCTACTAATTTCGCATTTCCTACGGTCTCGTCTTTTTTGAAACTCAGAAAGTTTTCAAGTTTTCACATTCGTAGTACAACTCCTGCAGACACATCTCTATGCTGCTTTGTACTCTATCTAGTACTGCAATAAGTCGCTGCCTGATTTCGGCTTTTTTCGACTACTGCGGACCAACCAAATATTCGTAACAGATACTTTTTCCGTCGCATCAAGCTCATGGATCTGTTCCCTCGCAATGCTTGTCACTGTATCAGTGTAGTCGAGGTAGTCCTCAGAGTCGTTCGCCTCCAGCTTCAAGCGTTGAAACTTCAGTGTGAATTCTAGAAGTCTGTTGTCAAACTATTTCTTTAGAAAGAGCACTGTCTTGTCGAAGCTTACCGCATTTGCTCCTTTAGCAGCCATTTCCCTGACACTTTTCAAAGCTATCCTGCTCCATTTCTCACGCGCAGCCCCATTCTTGGGCTCGGTAATGCTTCTAATTTCCGAAAAGATCTCCATGTAGCGTGCGTACATCTAAAGCCAAGTTTGCCCAAGAACAGAGACTTTTCCTGCTACTCGGTTTTGAGACCATGTTTCGGCCAGAACAGCAACCGTTCTCCGTCCATTTTCTGCCACGCCGTGAAACGTTTCCATCAGCATTTTCTCCCTTCTCTTATCATCTTTTCAAACATCAACAT